CCCGGAATTTCGTTGCCCCGGGCGGTGAATATGGATACGTTCTCGCCTCGCACAGTTTGGGTCGGGTTGGGGCCAGGTTATCCTAGCTCGTCTCGGCGGCGTGGGGGTGCAAGCGGTGGTCGGATTAGGTGACGTCGTCTGAGTTTGTTCCGTGCGTTCAGTTTTGCCCCCGTCTACGGGGTCGTCTCTACCGATATTGGTGCGTAAGCTGCCCGCGTAAGATCGCGCGCAAGCGATCTCGTCTCCAATGTGGCGCGTGCCGCGCCTGAGGCCCGCATCGGCCACCGCGTAGGGTCGCTGTGTCGTCTCGCGTAAGGCTCATTTGTTTTTCGTCGCTTTTATGGGTCCCATTCTGGAGCTAGAGATGAAAGGGGGAGGACGAGGGGGAGGAGAGAAGAGAAGAGAAGAGGAGGAGGCGCGGGGCTCTGCCGATTCCAAACGAGGACCCAACACCACAGGACGGTTGGGAAAGCAAGCTGAGCCTGGTGTTTGGCGCGAACTCGTGGGGGGCGATGCATGGTTGGGCGGCGAGGGCTGCACAAAAGGGGCCCCTTGGGGCCCCCCCAAGGAGGCCCTTTGGAGCCCCAGATGGGGGCCTTTCGGGCCTCCCCCCTCCTCCTCTTCCCGCCGCCCCCCCTCCTCCTCCGCCTCCTCCACCCCCAAGAAGTCCACGTGAAAACATATGGTTTGCGAAACAAGGGGGCACTTTCAGTTCCCCCCCCTCGTTTTATAGCCCCCCCCATGCATTTGCGCCCCAGGGTGGGTGTGTGGGGGGGGAGGAGGCGAGAGGCCTGGCCTCTCTCCCCGAGCGGGCCTGCAGCTCGCAGCTGGTGATCCCGTGCCGGCCCGGCCGAGCGGAGGGGGGGCGGCCGGAGAGGGCGAGGGCGAGGGCGAGGGCGAGGCCGCGGCGGGGCGGAGCGCAGCTCGGAGCGAGGAGCTTCGGCGGGGTCCCGTCCGGTGCGTCTCGGCCGGCTCCCGCGGCGCGTCGCGAGGAAGAGGCTGCGCCGCCCGAGGAGGAGGAGGAGGAGGACGGCCCCGCCCGCGTCGCGCGCGCGCCCGCGTCGCGCGCGCGCGCCAGGGGAGCCGCTTCCGCGAGGGAGGGCAAGGGGTGACCGAGGCAGCAGCGTGGAGCCTGGAGCGGAGAGGAGGAAGGAGGAAGGATCGGAGGGAAGGTGGGGGTGAAGGAGGAGGCATCGCCTATCCCTATGCTGGGCATCGCCTCATCACGATGCCAGTCTTAGGGGTTCCCTCATTTTTTGAGGGCGAATCCCTAAGATTAGCATCGCCTTTGGACGTGTCAATCTTAGGGATAGGGATACGTTCGAGGCTGGTAAGTGAAGGAGGAGGGCAGGGGCAGAAGGGAGGGAGGGGGGTTGAGCTTTATCTTGGGAGGTCCAGCGGTGCACGCTCGTGCAGACGACTGGACGCGCCCCAATGACGGTGCGACGCGAAACGAAGTATGCGAAGTCAGCAGGCCTGCCCAGCATCCTGGAACGCCTGGCAAAGAAGGCAGGTGGCAAAGGCTGGAACTCTGTGCCTCAAGGGGGGAAAAGTCGTGGTCTTTGTGTGCTGCAAGCTGCCCTCGGTCAGAGCTGAGCACGAGGGCCTCACCACGCATGCCTGGCTGTCGGCAGTGGCAAACTCGGGTGTCCTGCCCACTGTCAGGGACTTCGGCTTGGCGTGTCGCGCCACCCGTGCTGGCCAACCGCGCTTCGGCGCGACACGCTATCCACGTCCCGGTCCCCAGGCGCCGACGTGGCGAGCCTTGCCCAGCCTCCTCCCCCGCGGAGCTGAGCGGCACGCTACCCAGGCTAAGCCAATGTTCCTGACCGCAGCCTGAGCTGCACGTCCAACAATGTGGTGTCTGTGGAAGCCTGCGGGTTATGCAGATTGCGCGCCTTTCCCAGGAGCACGACGCACCTTGATCGAAGCTCGAAGGCTCATATAAACATATTTGTAGTGGCGAGTTGCGTGTGGCTTGAGTGCAACAGTGTATATCAGCAAAGTCATCGTCGTTGGCACGCTGGAAAAAAGCCTGCCCTCAGAGAGAGGCCGCAGGGCTACATAGGGGGTGTTTTTTTCTCCTGTGCGGTCCACGCGCCCGGGCGAGTGCGGTGCACACAGGCCGCGTCAGCGTACTGATGGCCACAGCATGGCTCATGATATGCCCTCACGGCGCCTGTGCGTGCGCATTGAAGCCTCCGGGCCCAGGCTTCGCGCGCGGTGTGGACCAATGGCGGCTTGCAGGGTGGAGTGGATGAGAGAATGATGGATGGGTGGCGTGGTGGAGTCGTGGTGCAGAGAACGGGGAGGCGTGGATGGAGGGGGGAGGAGGGCGAGGAGGGAGTGACGCAAGGATGACGAGCAAGGAGGCTAAAGCTGATGATGCTGGATGAAGGGAGGATGTTGTGGATGAGGATGAAGGATGGATTAGTTCGATGAGGAAGGGGCGTTTGGACAATGAGTATGAGGGATGAGGAGGAGGAGGAGGAGGAGGAGGAGGAGAAGGCAGAGGAGGGGGAGAATGATGCTTGGCACGGGGAAGACGAGTCGTAGGAACAAGACGGTGAAGACAGGCGGTTTGGGATGATGACGATTTCAGCGGGACGGAAGCGGACGCATATCGGCAGATGGAGGATGAGGAGCAATCGTGTATTCATAATGTGCATGTTGTGCATACGAGTCGTGGTCAGGGTAATCAGAGGGGGAAGGAGAACGGACATCATGACATCAACGGACAAGGTGAGTAACACGACAATTAGCACACGTGAATGCTATGGACAGTTTTTTTGTGATGCGGGGAGCGTTCTGGAAAGGATCATGTGAAATGTGACGGTCTAATCAACGAGAAGAGGAAGGAGGATGCGAATATGAATGATGAGGCGAGTGCAGAGCTGAGGAAAATGAGGAGGAGGAGGAGGATAAGGATGATCTATAGGAGGGGACATAGAGGGACAGGGGCATGGAGAGGGACCCGCATCATAATAGCGATAAGCTTGGGGATTGGGAGGCCAAGGAGACTGTGGTGGGGAATGATCCATGAGGACAGTGCGGCACTGGACGAGGACGAGGAATTCAGTGGCGGGGGAGGCGACAGAGGAACGAGAAGGTGGCGAGGGATCCGACGGAGTAAGCGGGCGGGGCGGGAGCAGGAGAGCGATGGAGGAGAGCAGCAGCTGGAGGATGAGGTTGTGGTTTGGAGGTCGCACTTGCCTGGCCTTTCAACCCTCAACGCGGGCCTCGCTAATTCGTCGCCACCTGTTTCAAGTCGGCTCGTCAGCGTTTCCTTCATTTCTCTAGCGCTACAAACAGAGGATTCCAGTTGGCGTGACGTCACAAAGTGTCGGGCGACGAAATCTACACATATCCACTGCCCCCTGGCCGAGCCCTTCCTTCCTGGGCCCATGAGCTGTGCATACGCCCTCCTGGCCAAGCCAGGAGGGCGTGGCGTATGCACACCGCGGCTGGGTTCGGGATGGGCCTGGCCAGGGAGCAGTGGATATGTATAGATGTCGTCGCCCTCAAAAGGGTGGAGGACGAGGAGGAGGAGGACGACGAGGAGGAGAAGGAGGAGGAGAAGGAGGAGGAGGAGGAGGACGAGGAGGGGGAGGAGCACGAGGAGGAGGAGGAGGAGGAGGAGGAGGACGAGAAGGACGAGGAGGAGGAGGAAGAGGAGGAGGAGGAGGAGGAGGAGGAGGAGGAGGAGGAGGAGGAGGAGGAGGAGGAGGAGGAGGAGGAGGAGGAGTGGGACCCAAGTTTTGCCCTCGACCCGCGAGGCTTGAGGGGCGGAGGAGAAGCTCGGTCGGGCCGGAGGGCCTCTGGAGGCCTCGGGGGAGCGCCTGGAGTGTCGGCCTCGGGACTGGAGCAGAGCTTACCAGGAGGGGGGCGGACATGTGAGAAGGGAAAATCAGCACACAACCATACCCATACGCAGGGGGGACGGAGGGGGGTTATCGGAGCGCGTTGTCGAGAAACAGCACTCGATGCAGAAGCAACGCCGTGCATCTTAAACTTTTTGCGCTTCGCGCGGATTTCCTGGATTTGTGCTGGGCCCCCCTGGCAGTGCCTCTGGCGCCGCCCCCGGCGCGCCAGGGAGGGGGTCCAACGCAAATCCAAGAAATCCGCGCGGAGCGCTATTATGGCAGTTTTTTTCTTCTCAACACATACCCATACGCAGGGGGGACGGAGGGGGTGCGTCAGCGTGCAGAGCTGAGTGATGAGCACAGTGTGGTTCCAGTCGCAGGCGAGTGCACACAGACGGAACTCCGAGCTGCCGTATCAGACATACACAGATCTGTTGCATGCCTCCGGTCGCAGAAGGGGGGGGCTGCATCGTGAAACGGTCCTGGAGGCTGCCCCATAACAAAAAGGTGCACACATGTGTCCGGTCGAACGGAGGGGGGGTGCCGGTAGGGAGGAGGAGGGTCGCCCGCCCGCCGCAGCTGACAGCTCGAGCGCCCTCCAAGGCGCCCTTCCTGGGACACCCGCTGGGCGTCGCGCCACGGGGGGACGGTGCAGGTCGTCCTCGTCGGAACCGTCCCCACCCCCCCCGACCAGGGCAGGGCAAGCTGGCTCTCCCAGCGTTCCCCCTCTAGGTGGGCCGAGGTTTCCCCGGTGGGGGTGGGGATTGTCTTGCTCGTCCAGAGAATGAGGGTAGGGCGCCTAAAGCCAAAGGGGCCCAGAAGGAGGACTGTTGGGCCCGAGAAATGCACCGCTCTCCGCCCCCATCCCAGACCCCCGACTCGTGACTGTTCCACAACCTCGACCCCCAGAGGTCTGGACCTCGTCCCCGGGACCGGTTTCTCATCCGCGCGCCGTCTTTGTTGACGGCCCGGGGGCCGGGTGAGGGCCCCCGGAGCTCGAACATGGCGAGAGAACCCCTCCGTCGCGACTGGTTCGAAACGCGAGGGTGTCTGGGGGGCACCGCCCCCCCCACGAGGCGGCGCCCAGGTCCGACGCCACCCCGGCGCCAGACGCCTGAATTCGGCCACGCGCGCGCCATGCCGGAGCCGCGGGCTGCGCAGCGGGAGCCCCCGCCTTGCCCCAGCCCGCGCGAGGGGCGAGGGGATCAGCAGCACCGTAGCGGACACAGTCGGGGCCCTGAAGAAGGAACCCTTTTGGTCGGGGAGGGGCTACGCGTTCCTTAAGTGTTTCACAGCTTGCCTCAGGTTTTCCTCCGGTTTTCGATAGAAGGTCGAACTTTAACTGATGGGAAAAAAGGGGCCTCGTTCCTTATTTAGGGTTCCTTAGGTCAATGCCCCGACTGTATTCGAATTCGGCGATTTGGAGAAAGTTGCCCTTCAGGGTTGTTTCGGAGATTGCCGAACCTAGTGGGTGATGCTGGAGGTTCGCCGACAGTTGCCACTAATAGGGCCTCTGTCTGGCACTGCAGCGCTGCCCACATCGGGGAGGCTTGGGCTCGCAGTGCCACTGGCCAGTAGTGCCCGTTGGTGGAGTCCCCGCCAGAGGGGCGCCGAGGGGAGGGGAGGAGGCTCGCTTTGACCAGAACAGGCAGTAACGGAACGCATGTGGCAGGCCAGCCACAACTGGGGGAGCTGTGGTCCTTACCCCTTTGGGGACCCATCGATTTCGACATCCCTCTCGAGAGATCGTCGACGCGATGGTTTCCCCCAGGGGGGTAAGGACCACAGCTCCCCCAGTCATGGCTGGTCGGTGTGGACAAAGACCGACCGCAGCTCTCGCTCGTCTTGAACAGGGCGCTCTGCTGGTGCCGCCGCGGACGTCGTCGCCTCGGAGACACCGGGCAGCGGCCGCTGCCGGTTTGGGGCAGCAGCTGTTGTGTTGGGCACCGTGCGCATGTTTTTGTCGTATCTTCTTCGGGCGTCCAGGCGATTTTTTTTCTCTGCGAGCCGTGAGGCGTAACCACAGGGCCACAATTAGCCAAAAACACACGGGCCACAACTGGCCGTGGGCCTAGCAGGAGCACGTAACCCGCTTTCCAGGCGAGGTGAGGGAGGGGAGGAATGAGGGGGCTATGCGGTGACAGCCCCAGCCGTCTCAGCGGGAACTTTGATGGGTGGTCCGATGGCCCCCCCTTTGCTTTTGGATCCGTCGCGCCGGAGGAGACAGCCGGAGCAGGGAAGTCCATCACGAGTGAATGCAGTATGCAAGCAGCCGTCCGACATGTGATTTGGGCCTCGCGAAAGATTCAGGAGGACGCGTGGAATGACAAGGTTCTGAAGTCGGTCGGGGCTGGCCGTTGGTACCGAACTCATCACGAACAGCGGGATCAGTTGTTGGCGGGCGGCGCGTTGGTATTCTGGGCCGTGTTGCTCACCCTCGAGGTGGGGAGATCGATTGACCGCAGCGTCTGCCATGGAGCTTGTGCTACCTTTAGCATGTTTGTTGTCATCTCTGCTTCTCTGTCGGCTCCTTTGCCAGATCAGGAGGAGCAGCTAGGATGAGGAGCACCACCACCACCACCATCAGTAGGATGGAAAGGCGCCCACTATCCTTCCGATCCGCCCGCTCTCTCCTGCTCTGACGGGCTCTTCCTCGCTTCCCCCCTCCGGTCTCCATTCCCCCTTCTGACCCCCCCTTTCCCCTGCTCTCCCCCTCAGGTCTCCCCCTCCTCTCCCCCCATTCCTTTAATACCCCCACGCCCCTCCTTTCCCCCGCCTCGAGCCCCCCATGTCCTCCCCCCCTTCCCCCCATGACCCTCCTCCCTACCTCCCTCCCCTTCCCTTTCCCCCTGTCTCTTCCGTTCCGCTCCCCCCCCTTCTCTCTCTTCCCCCCCCCTGCCCTCATTTCCCCCCCTCGCCCTTTCACAGCTTGTTCATTTGGAGGACTTCTTGGTTTGGGTGCGTGGGCGTCGGCGACAGGCGAGCCTGGCGGCGTGGTGGGGGTGGCCTCTCACCCCCTTCAGGGGGTCGTTTGCGCCATCCGCTTGCGAGCTGGCGGTCCTGCCGTGCCCCTCCCCACATGCCCCAGCCCCGGCCTTTCCCACCAGCGCAGCGCCCTCTCCCGACGACGCGTCACAGTGACCCTTCGCCGGAGTGCCCTTCGCTGCGGTCCCGGCGTGGAGCGCGAAGTGCTGGCAGCGGCCTGCGCGCCGAGGCGTGTGGCCACGCCGCGCCCTCCCCCGTTCGACTACACGTAAGAGTGACCTTTCGCCGGAGTGACCTTTGGTGCGGGCCCAATGGAGTCCCCCGATCGCCGAACGCGATGCGGTAGTAGCGTCTTGCGCGCTTGTGCTTTGCACCCCCACGGCCCCCCAAAAGCCGCGCACCAAAGGTCATTCTTACCCAGGGTCACTCTTGCGTGCAGCCGACCCGTGAAGCTCGGGCCGAACGAAAGGGGGAGATTGGGAAAGGGGGGGGGGTACGAAATTTGCTGCATGCAGCTGGTTTCGGACCCACCGAGGGGCCCATTCCTCGATACGTGGCCGCCTCCCGTCGCCGGGAGGCGCTGGGAAAGTCAGCGCCGTGAGCCGATTCTCACCCCCCCCTTTGCTATCCCCCCCTTTCGCCCGGCCCGAGAAGCCGCGCACCCAGGGGCCACTCTTGCCCAGGGCCGCTCCCTGCGTGCCGCCGATGCTAGCGCCCCCCGCTTGCCGCCCCACTGCCGCCGCCGCTGGCTCCGAGGAGGCCCCGGGCAGCAGCGGCGACTGCGGCGACGGGGACGCCGCCGCTGCGGCGACGTGCCTCCAGGCGCGCGCACTCCTGCGCGCGCGCGCCGCGCGCTTCTGATGCGGGACGGGAAAATGACCACAGCCACTGCTTCTTGTTTGCGCCGCCTTCCAGCCGGCCGAAAAAGAAGCAGTGGTTGTGGTCATTTCCCTGGTGCCGAGCTCAACTACAATGACCACAACCACTGCTTTTTTTTCTGCGGGCTGGAAGGCGGCAACAAAAGAAAAGCAGTGGCTGTGGTCGTTTTCACGCCCCGTATTTGAGCGGCGGGTGGGCGCTGCCGCCGCCACCGTCGGCGGCCCTGCGAGCGCCGGAGGGCGTCCCTCGGAGCCGCGCGCAGCCTCGCGTCGCGAGAGGAGGAGCACGACGGGTCGAGGGTGAACTCTGGGCATGTCGTCGCCCGAAAGTCGTATTGGGGCGATTCTTCGATGGTTTTTGAATCGTTTGTTTTGTTTTCGTGGGGGGGGCAGTTCTTGATTTTTCGGGTGAACTCTGGGCACGTCGTGGCCTAGAAGTAGTATTGGGGCGATTATTCGATGGTTTTTGAACCGTTTGTTCTGTTTTCGCGAGGGGCAGTTCTTGATGTTTTTCACAAAATCCCGCCTGGAGGAGGGCATGCCCGACCCAACTCGAGGCTCGAGGTTCGGCGATGCGAGCGTTCCTGGTCATCCTGCAGCGCCCTCGAGGCCGCGGCTGGAGCCTCCTCGAGAAATCTGGGTCAGAGCGCCCCCCCGGGCAGGTCCAGGGGCCGATTCTCGACCGCTCAGGGGGGGGAGGCTCAAGGTTTTCGGGCCTTCGCTATCCTGATGCGCCCGTCTTGAAACCCTAGGCCTCCTAGGTGGGGCCTCCTAGGTGGGGCTGGAGCAGGTGGGGTCGGAGGATCGCGCCGCATCGCCGATGCCTCGGCGATGCGGCTCGACTTGGAGCCCGTGCTTCCCCACGCCGATGCCGCCGATGCATCGCCGATGCGTCGGCGATGCATTGGCGATGCGGCGCGTACCTCGACCCCACCTAATTACTCCGACCCCATCCAGGAGGCTTCCGAAAACACAACCCGTACAGTGCTGAAAACGTCCGTGTTGACGCGCTGGGCGTGTCGTGGCTCGGCACGCGCTGGGCCCCTTCTGGGCGTCCGTAGCGCACCAGACCTACGTTTTCAGTGTACGTTCAAGGGGCCCAAGGACACACAAATAAATACACACAAATAAAATGGCCCCCCATATTTTCCCATGTTTGCTGGGTTTTTGTCTTCCCCCCCTTCCCATATTTTCCAGCATTTTCCTGGGAGTCGACGATTCATTGCGTCTGAGTGTTTTTTCCCTCCTGATACGTGTTGAGCTCCGTGTCGCCGCGCTACGGGCAGCGTGCTGCGCATCGGGGCGGCTACGCAGCGAGCTGCTGTAGATAAAAATTCGGCCTCCAGGGGCCCCTCGCCAGGCCCCGGGACCGTCGAGAAACGACCGGGGGTGATGAAAAGCCGGCCACCGGAATGGGGTTCACGCGTTTGGGGGTCCACGTCGTGAAAGGGAACGGCGTCGGGGTCCGGGTCGCGGCCTCCGTCGTCGGAGGTTCTGAGGGGCGCCCGGGGTTTGGGCGTCGAGGCCTCCGCCGTGTCACGCCCCCAGATCTCAGACAATATGCTTCATTGGCTTACGCCGCACCGCCGACCCCTTGGCGCGGCAGCAAGAGTGAACGACGGAGTTCGCGGAACGCGCGCGATCGCTGGGCCATCTTGGGGTTTCGGCCTGTCTTACGTAGCGTGTGGGGTTCAAGGGGGGGCCTTGTAGGGGACTGCTTTTCAGTTTTTCGTGGTCTTATGTGGGTTGCTTGGGGCCTTCACGGGGCCTGTCCCAGGCCTCCTTTTCCACCCCCTGGATAGGCTCGAGGATCGTTGAGACCCAGCTGGGGGTGCGTCCGGCCAGAAGCTCGAGAGTGGACCCAGCTGTGTCGACGAGGAGCTTCCTGAAGGCCCAGAGGGGGCGGAGAGCGCCCAAGAACTAGGAGTCTCATGCCTCGAGCCTCGATCCACCCCGTGTTCCTTCCTTTGCGAAGGGGAGGCACCGGCCAGGGAGGTCGATCCTCACCCCGGACCCTCGGTGGTGGTCCCGGGCACCGAAAACGGCTCCTGGAGGCTGAATTCGAGGAGATGCCTCGGGTGGTCGAAAGATTACGAAAATCTGTGAAACATAGGCGTTGGACGATTGTGGCCTCTTGGGCCCCTCTTGGGAATGCTCTTGGTAGCCCCGGCAGTGCCGAGTGTTACACATATGTACATGTGTATGTATGCATGTATGTATGTACGCATGTGTGTCTGTATGTATGCTTGTATGCATGTGTATATATACATACATCTATATATATATACATACATACATACATACATACATACATACATCAATATAGTGGCCTTCGGCCCATCCCGCCACCGTGCCTTGGTTGTCGGCCTGAGATGATTGGTGCCTGGGTTGCGGGTTCGAAATTGCATGCCTCAAGTGGTACTTGGGGCTCCTTTTGAGCTTCTTGGGGGCCTCTTGGGGGGCCTCTTGGGGGCCTCTTGGGGCCTGTTGGCCGCCTCTTGGGCCCCCCTGGGGCCGCTTGTGGGCGGAACGCTCGGATTGTTGGTTCAGGCTCCCCCTCTTGGGCTTCTTTTTGGGCCGTCTTGGGGCACTCTTGGGCCGTCTTGGGAGCCTCTTGGGCCGTCTTGGCGCCCTTTTGGGCCGTTTCGAGCGCCTCTTGGGAGCCTCTTGGGCCGGTTTGGGGCGGTCTTGGGAGATTCGGGGGCCGTCCTCAACGCCGTGAAGGCCGAAACCTCGTGTATGATAACAATGCTTTTCCCCGTGGGATCGGCGATTTTGGCCTCTTCGGCGTTATCTGCGAACTCGCTGGATTCCGCGACCGCAGCGGACCTTAGCATGAACCCCTCTGTTGTCTTCGGAAACGGTTGAGCCCCCAAGTGCGGAGGCACGCGCGGCGCCTCATTGCTACGTCGTCGCGGGGCTTACGAGGTGCTCAAGAAGGTCGAGGTCGCGCAGGGCCCCGCACCGCCTCCGCGCGCCTCCTCCTCCTCCTCCTCCTCCTCCTCCTCCTCCTCCTCCTCCTCCTCATCCTCATCCTTCTCCTCCTCCTCCTCTTCCTCCTCCTCCTCCTCCTCCTCCTCTTCCTCCTCCTCCTCCACCTCCTCCTCCTCCTCCTCCTCCTCCTCCGCCTCCCCGCGCGTCGGTCTGGTCCCGTTCACGCGGCCTCTAAGATGCGGGCGCTGGCGCGCGCCGGGCCGCCGCCGATCCCCCCTGGCCGCCCCGCTGGGCGTGCCCGTGTTCGGGTCGGGTTTTGGGGGTGGCTCGAGACATTGGTCGCAGCCTCATCCTCGTCACCTCCTTGTCCCGCCTCGGGAGACTGGTCCCGTTGCCATCCCTTCCCAGCATAGGGATAATGCAGTACCTGGCCCAAGGCACAGCGCAGTGCCTCTCAGGCCGGAGGTAGTGCCTCGGGATGTTGTGTGGCAGTCACCCCGTTGCAGTAGAACATTTGCCGCTGCTGCATCGTCGACAGGTTCAACTCCAGAACGTAGGAGGGGATGCTCAGCCTTGCGCGCGCCTTCCCGTCTAAGACGGTGAGGTCGACAGATCGCCTCGGAGTCCCGTTCGCGTCAGTTGGGAATTTGGGAAGCCCTCTCCCCGCGGTGGCGGAGGTGGTTCCGCTGCGCCAGCCCCCGTGAGATGTGGGCATGCTCGAGAGGAGCGCACACGCTCGAGCACAGAGGGTGCTGATGTCAACGTCTCCTGGGGTTCATCCTGCAGCTATCTTTCGACGCGGGGCCTCCAGGATTCGCGATCATCACTCGGAGGGCATAGTCTACCCGTTTCCAGATGCCCAATACTTAGCGTCTATGCAAAATGCCGTCCTCATGCTCTATCCACAAGCGTGTATACACACACTGTGTGTCGTAACCTACATGGCTGGACACGTTCGGGTTGGATGCGTCTATAGACAGCGCGGCCGTTGCGTCCGGAGTCGTACAAGGTCGGAGACAGTGTAGATCTGTCTAATTACGGTACGTTCTTGTTCTAGAGCAGGTCCCACATGGCACACCCGATCATCACCACCCCCGCCACCATCATTGCGCCACCCAAATTATGGTCGCAATCAACAGCGACATCCTCATCATCCCCCGCTGCATCCTCACCAGCCCACCCTGGGCTCGGGTGAGCGGCCAGCCCCTCCGCCCATTCCCATTGGCCCCGCCCTCGGGCGCCCCCGAGGGCGTCTTCCTCCGTTTTCTCCTCCTCCTCCTCCTCATCCTCCTCCTCCTCCTCCCTTTCCTCCTCCTCCACCTCCTCCTCCTCCTCCTCCTCTTCCTTCCCTTCCCTTCCCTTCCCTTCCCTTCCTTTCCTTTCCCTTCCCTTCCTCCTTCTACTCCTCCTCCTCCTCCTCCTCCTCGTTCCCTTCCCCTCCCTTCCCTTCCTCCTTCTCCTCTCCTCCCCGCCGGCCATGCCGAACTTCGGCAGCAGACGCAGCCGGACGACGCAGTCGCTGTCCGCCGACCAGCGCGCGCAGACCGACATGCAGCTCGGAGGAGGGCCCGTCGAGACGCCGGCGGCCCTTCCTGGCGTTTTCTCGTGCGCCCTGGGGGCCTCCTCCTCCTCCTCCTCCTCCTCCTCCTCCCTCCTCCTCCTCCTCCTCCTCCCCCTCCTCCTCCTCCTCCTCCTCCTCCTCCTCCTCCTCCTCCTCCTCCTTCTCGCTCTCGCCGCCACGGCCGGCTCCGACCCGGAAGCTGCTCCGCGCCGCAGCGCGGCGGGAGCGGCCCGCACGCGGGCTCCTGGCAAGCCCGGCGGCGGCACTGCGATCTGCCCGGACGCAAAGGGAGGAGGGAGGGGGAGGAGGAGGAGGAGGAGGAGGAGGAGGAGGAGGAGGAGGAGAGGAGGAGGGGGAGGAGGAGGAGGAGGAGGAGGAGGAGGAGGAGGAGGAGGAGGGAGGAGGAGGAGGAGGAGGAGGAGAGGAGCGGCCGCGGGAGGATCGGAGGTGGGCAGACCTCCTACCCTGACGCGAAGATTAGCGAATTGGCCGCTTTCGCTTCGCGAGAGGGCGTCGCGGCCGTCACTGCTGCGGGTCCAGGCCCGTCGGCTTCGGTCCCAGGCCGTTTTCACTAAAGGGAGGTTTACTGAAGGGAGCTTTTTCCACCGCCGAGAGGAGGGGATGGACTGGTGTGCTCGCGCGGCGGGGGCCGCAGCGCCGCCCCGAGAGAAGCAGGTGGTCGGGATGGGTCCCCGGGAGGGGGCCGACGTGGGAGCGCCGCCGTTATGTCTCTGCCGGCCCTCCTCCGGGTGTCACTGGCGGGAGAAGCACCTGCCGTGGGAGGGCGAGAACAAGGTGCCAGGATGTGCTCCTCCTCCTCCCTCCTCCCTCCTCCTCCTCCTCCTCCTCCTCCTCCTCCTCCTCCTCCTCCCCCTCCTCCTCCTCCTCCTCCTCCTCCTCCTCCTCCTCCTCCTCCTCCTCCTCCTCCTCCTCCTCCTCCTCCTCCTCCTCCTGGGAGGTTATGTTCAGCATCGGTGCTTCTGGATCCCTGGTCGAAAACCTGCCAAGTTCGGCACAGCTCCGCCGAGTTCCGCCCACTTGATCCAGCAACTTGCAATCCAATCTGGCAACATCCTGTTCTTTATCTTGGCTGGTGCGGCCGAGTGGCCCCTTCATCGGGTTAACTACCCCGGAGTCCTTTTGTACCAGCACCTAACAGAAGTTCTATCTTGGAAGGTGATTGCCATGTTCGCGTTCCTGAAGGTGCCGCTCATCTTCTTCGTCGGCTTTTTCGGCTTCTTCGCGGAGCGCCAGATCGACGACCTAACGCTGGAGAGGTGGTCCCGCTCCGCCCTGTCGGGGCAGCCGTCCTGCTACGTGCACAAGCTCGACATGGAGAGGGCCCCAAAGCACACCGAGTGGAGCCTGGTGCAGTTCATCAACGACACCTTCATGGGCGGTCGCATGGGGGAGCCAAAGGAGCTCACCGTCGCGGACCTCGAATCGGGAAAAGAGACGGCAGCACACGCATCGATTTCTGGAGCTCCGCGCGGAATCCTGAGCTCTGCGTTGGAAATCCCTGGCGCAGGGAGGGGGGCTCAGCGCAGGTCCAAGATATCCCCGCGGAGGTCCGACGGTGTATGTTTGCACCGAGTTCTGTCCCCCTAGGACCTGACCCTGGAGGTGGCCAAGAGGGACCTATGCGGCTTCGACGTGCACTGCAAGCCCGACTCGACCGTGACGAAGAGCAGCTTCGCGACGGGCGGCGTACAGCATGGCATCTCTTTCTCCTCGCTGTGGACGCTATACAAGCTCCTGTACATTGGCATCCACCCCGTGGACCGCGTGGCCGTTAGGTTGTTTGAAGTTCCGCCGTTGTTGAAATTGCTCACGGAGCCGTATTTCCAACCGCCCTGCACCAAGCCGATGGCGCTAGCGGTCAAGGCACTGTTCTACGTGCGCTATAAGTTGATGCCCAACTTGCTGCTGGGAGCCCTCGCATCCCTGGAGTCGCACCCTGCCTGCGATGACCTGGTATTCTACAAAATGGATTGGTTCTGGGGCCAGCTCATGTACTATAACATCTGCATTGAGTTGTTTTGGACAGCGCTGCTTTACGGCCTGGGCATGTACTACAAAATCAACCCCGTCGGGACCTGGAAGTACAGGATGTACAAGATCCTATGGTTTTTGTCTGGCTTCTTCCCTTTTGTGTTTGTATTCTTCGACGTCATGACAACCTCACAGTGGAATATATTCAGGCTGATCCGCTTTACCTTCCGGTGCGTGTTCACGTTCGATATCTCGTTTGCGTTTTACATCGACATTCTGCAGCTGTTCTTAGCCTTCATCTCCATGTTCGAGTTCGTGGAGTTCGTCGCCTTCGTGTGCCAGATCCTGTGCCCCAAGGTCCTGGAGCGGCAGCCCTGGTTCAAGGCGATGGACTTCGACTGCTGCGACGTGCCAGAGGCCGAGGCGGGCGAGGACGAGGCCGAGGAGCTCATCGCCCCCGCGGCGCCGGCTGCCACCGCCACCGACGGCGGCACGGGCGGCCGCAAGGGCAAGAGGCAGCAGCTCAAGTCGGCGCTCAGCGGCTTCGCTGGCCAGCTCGGGCGCGCGGGCACCAGCGGGCTGGGAGCGCTCGGCGGCGGAGCCGGAGTCAGGAGGGGATCGACCAGCTGAGGCGCCGCTGGAGGCCGCCCCGGTGGGACTGGAACGGGCGGGGTCGAAGGATCGCGCCTCCACAAATCGGCGACGCCGGGATGCCCAGACCCCTTCGCGCGCTGACGAGATCACGACGGACGGTCTTTTGTGCAGTTCCGGCCTCCAGAGGCCCTCGCCTGGCCCTGGGACCGCCAAAACACGACTCGGGATGAGAAGCCGGTCCCGGTGAAGAGGTCAAGACCCCTCAAGGGTTTCACGCTGGCGGCAGTTTTTCTTGAGACTCTGGCACTTTACTTGCATGCGGGGGCGGGGGCGGGGCGAGGTTCGAAAGAAGATCTGGACGTCACGCAGCAGGTCTGGACTCCCTGGCACGCCTCCTGGGCCCGGCGCTGCTCGACAGGGCGTCGGAGGGGGAAAAGAAATGCCATGCAAGAAGACCTGCCGGAGTCTGCGGAGCAAGACGCCCTCCGGCCCGAGTCGTTGATTGGCGGCCCCCGGGGCCGGAGAGTGGCGCTCGGGGGGCCGGACAACTTGCAGAGACCTTCCGTCGTGTTATTTCAATCGACTGGAGGGGGTCTGGTTTTCGGGCGAGGGCGAGCGTACGGGGGGGGGGCCGAGGATGGCGCTCGGGGGGCCGAAAAACTTGCGGAGACCTTCCGTCGTGTTCTTTTGATCGACTCGAGGGGGTCTGGTTTTCGGGCGAGGGCGAACGTACGGGGGGGGGGGGGGCCGAGGATGGCGCTCGGGGGGCCGAAAAACTTGCGGAGACCTTCCGTCGTGTTCTTTTGATCGACTCGAGGGGGTCTGGTTTTCGGGCGAGGGCGAGCGTACGGGGGGGGGGGGGCAGGCTCACGAGGGGGGCACTGGCTCAGGGGTCGAGCAGAGGCGAAGCGTCCAGGCCTGCCTGTAGGCCCACCAAATGATGTTCTAAGGATCTGTGGTGGTTTGCACGACATGTTCTTAGAACATTTCTGGCTGAGAGTGCTTTGTTTTAACACATCATCGGTTTGTTCTAAGAACGCTGTTCTTATTCTTAGAACATTTTGAGGTTCTAAGAACCTGGCGTGGTAGGCTTACGGGACAGCAGGACGGCCGGTCCCTGATCAAAGGCGGTGGAACCATCGAGCTGGAATCGGCGATACCTGATCGATTGATAGGCGATGTGCCCCCCATAGCGAATCCACATGCTCCTATGCGGGGTGGGATGTCGGGCCCCTGTCGGCGATGAGTGTGCGATCGGGGGTCGATCCCTGACCTTCCAGAGTGCTAGAGAACAGCCCCCCAGACCTCCAGACCCATCTGGACTGCCCAACACCTCGACCTGGAGTTTGGATGTCGGCGTCCTGGTGCTATCGTTGAGCCCTCCCGGAAGGTCAGGGATACTCTACCACCTGAGCCTATCCGTCGTACTTTTTCTTCGACTGGGAGATCGACTACATAATGAATGTACCCTAAACATTCTTTCTCGCAGGATCTACCCAACAACTTGTATAATGCTCGCAGACATACGGAAGCTCTGCGCATTTTGCATAGATTGGACGAACATTCTGATCGTGGGGGGTAAAGTCGAGCGTCTGATTAAGAAACCTCCCGACAATCTGGGCCAGCGTTCTTTCACCAGTTTGCCGGAAAGCTGGCCCAGTTTCTGGAGCACGTTCGATCCCTCCAGCGTTTACAACAGAAATGAACCCAGGTATGCTTCGAATAATTTCCTGGGAGCTGGTTTCTTAGAGAGAAGTTTCCTGATCATGTTATCGGGGCTGCAAATCAATTGTGTAGTTTATCTTCAACAGTCGACCCGCATGGTAAGGATGGGCAACCTTCCCAATGATACCCTTGGCCACTTTCGTTGGCCGCGCCCCGCTCGAAAAGCTTCGAGATGGCCTTCCAAGGCCCTTGCATCCTTCTCGTGCGACCTTGTGATACTGGGGGAATGTTCAGTATCATTCAACCGATCCCTGTCCCCATGCCCATCCTCATCTCGACGCCTATCATCCCACCACCCCAGTTGGGGAATACACCCCTCAGACCCAAGGGGAGCAGCCTGTACCACCCCATCCAGGGTGGTACCTCGGCCAGTGGAGCCCAGGCCGCGTCGGTGGGGATACAGTGCCGTTTTGAATACATGCTCCGCGTGCGGATCATGTATTAGACATGCAGGGAGTTAGTATTAAAAACAACGATGGGCTCATGCATAAATTCATTCCTAAATTCATCATGCCTTAAACATCCGACATGTTTGAAATCCTATTATTTTTTAAAAAAAAAAACTGCCCTGTAGGGATCGGCTAAACGATGCTCGCATGCATTCGATTGCTGCCCACGACGCCAGGGGCCTCTGGGCGGGCCGGGCACCGGGCGCGGCGCAGGGGGCCGCCGCTGCGACAGGCTGGGGGCCCCGCGGTGCGGAGCTCCCGCTGCCCCGAGCTCCCCTCGCCATGGGGGGCCCGGGGCCCCCTTGCGGGAGACGGGTCTCCCGAGGTTTGTCGCCGTGCCTCGGAGGAGGAAGAGGTACCCGTACCTCTGCCCTCCCCTCGTTTTCCCCTCTTCGGGCCTCCTGGACCTCGGTCGTCGCCACCGCCGGATTCGCTTCGAAATCCTGGTCAGAACGCACCCCGGGAGAGGTCCGGGGAGCAGCGGCCAGGCTTTCGAGGCCCTGCAGGGGCCCTGGCATTGTCGTCGACAATGCCAGGGCCCCTGCAGGGCCTCGACGAGTAGACGTGAGTGCAGGCAAGACTTGTGTCCAGATCCACTGCAGCTTGGAGTCTCGGGCTCCCGTCCCCACAAACCCGAGGCGCACTGGGTGTGGATAAAGTTCTGGCCCCTGGGGGCTCGAATTTGATCCATATCCAGTGCGCCTCGGCCTCGTGGCGCCCCTTCAAAGGCAGTCCAAGAAGCACTGGATATGGATATACACTTTGCCCGCAGTAAGAGTGACATGTCGCCAGGGTGAACTCAGGTTCGGGCCGAAAGGGGTCCCCAAATCGCTGAACGTGAAACAGTGGCAGCGGCTTGCGCGCCTGGGTTTGGCCACCCCGCGTCCCCCGTGAAGCCGCGCACTGCGCACCAAATGGTAACTCTTGCTTAGGGCCACTCTTGCGTTCAGCTGACACTGCCAGAAGACGACTCGGTATGAAGATCTCGTTCTGGGGAAAGGCCGCACTCCTCCTCCTCCTCCTCCTCCTCCTCCTCCTCCTCCTCCTCCTCCCTTCCTCCTCCTCCTCCTCCTCCTCCTCCTCCTCCTCCTCCTCCTCCTCCTCCTCCTCCTCCTCCTCCTCCTCCTCCAGGGCTCAGGACCCGCTCCCCTCCGGGCCCGTGTCCCCCGTGCTAAACCCGAGCTTCCGCCGCTCCGGCCACGCCCAGGGCGGCCGCGGGCTCCCCGGCGCGCCTCGCAGGAGCCGGGCGAGCGCCAAACGGCTTCTTGTTGACCCCGCCATTCGCCCTTTGCGGAGGGGGGAGTCATGGGCCTGTTTTCCACCACCACCACCACCATAAGTTGGAGGGAGGAAGGAGGTAGAGGATAAGGAGGAGGACGAGGAGAAGGAGGAGGAGGAGGACCCCCTCCCCCTCCCACTTATGGTAGTGGTGGTGGAAAACACGCCCACCAGGGAGCGTTCGAGGGCTCGAGGCTTTCCGATGCCATCTCGCCGGTCCTCGGCGGCGCTCGGGCCTCGGGCTGCGTTCCCGCAGCCGCGCCTCGCCGAGGGTGCTCCCGGGTGGCCTGGAGATTCCCGGACGGCCGCCGGGAGAGAGCCGAGCTATGACCCGAGAGCAGTGCGGCTACAGCGAGCGGCTTGAATAGGGAACACTCACTTTTCAAAAGGGGCTCGCTCGTTCCCTGGGTTTACATGCGTTCTGCTACCTTTTTGGCGGCGAGCCCCCCTGGTGTTCCTTCAGATGCTGGACGCGCGGGTTCATTTTGCCGATGAGGGGCTCGGCCGTTCCTTCGGACTTCGTAGACCTACTTGGAAAAAAGGGGCTTCGTTCCTTATTTATCGTTCCGTAAGTCAGGCCGATGACTGTACGTAAGAGGGGATAGGTCTCAGCGGGGATGCATCGACCCTCGCCCACTCATCGCCGCCAGGGGCCCGATCGCCGATAGCCTGCCCTGCCGAGGAGTGTGCGCATTCGCCGGCGGGGGCCTGCCGCCGATCTATCGGCGCTGCATCGCCGAGTCAAGCTCGATGTGCCCCCTCCTGAGAGGGGTTCCCTACGGGGGTTGTCGGCTGTGTTGGCGACCTTCTCCCTCCCCTCTCCCGCCCTCCGCCGTCGTGCCTTCTGTTCTCCATGGCTCCTTCTCCTCCTCCTCCTCCTCCTCCTCCTCCTCATCCTCCCTTCCTCCTCCTTACCCGCCTCCTCCTCCTCCTCCTCCTCCCTTCCTCCTCCCCACCTCCCACTCCTCCCACGCCTCCTCCTCCTCCTCCTCCTCCTCCTCCTCCTCCTACCTTTTCTTCGCTATCTTCGGTGCGCGTGATGGCTGTTTCCCCCATGAGCGTTCGGCCCCTCACCTCTACATGGGGGCAGCTGGCCGTCATCAGAGGGCAGCCCTCGACCCTCGCCTGCTCGGCGGCGAGCGAGGGGGGGATGCGAGAAGGTGCGGGCCTTCTTGGAAAGCCAGGAAGTTCATGGGCCTTCTGAGAAGTTTTCGAAGCCTTTCCCAAAGACGCAACACATGATCGGCCCACGAACCCGGAAAGGAATACAGACATGCGTGAGGCATGGCAACGGTTTCAAGACACTTGAGTGGGCGACGGGCAATTGCAATGCTGAGCGTATCCATCTAGATGTACCATGCCAAGGGCTGTGTTGTGCTGCGCCGTGCTGAATTGCGATGTGCCATGTCGCGATTGTGCTCTACAGCGTTGTGGATCGAGTCCTCCTTTGCATCCGAGTCCTGACAGAACTGATCTGGATCTGAAGCTCGAGCTGCCTGAGCGCAGAGTAGCTGCCCCCAGAGCTAGTTGAAGCGGAAACGTGCGGGAAGCTCAATCAACTCGACGTCAGAATCCGACTCCGCT